GCAGGAGCCCCCGGTTGCCAGACCACAAATGACGTTGTGTCAGGGCCGAATTCCGTACGTGAATGTCATGCCATGCCACCAGACCTTCATAACGAGAGCAAAGGGTGCACCGCCCCTGAAGGAGGCGGTGTGGGGCACTAGGAGACTACCCCTGGCCGTGCAATGCAAGCACATTGCACGGAGCTCCGGCGGGGCTCACGCTTGCAGCGCAAGTAAAGATCGCGGCGGATCTCATACTGCTTCTACCATCAGTAACACGGTGCCTTTGTTTACCAAGGTTATCGGTGTTTACAACGTTCTGATATATTTCATGGAGCAGTTACAAAGTTGGGTCGCTGGATGTTGGCCTCAGCTCATCCTCCTAACGACGCTCTTAAGGAACACCCGGTTGAGGAGTTATCCCAGGCTTCCAAGCCTCACAAACTTGAAAATGCGTGCAAAAGGCACGAAACACGAGGAAGGATCAGCAGTCGTATTCCTCTCATCTGATAAAGGAGTGGTCGCCCGGCATGTACCCCCTTTTCCATCCTTACAACTCAAAACGGGGCTTCGGGGTTCCCATTTGTTAATGGTATGGATGATATCGTACAAAATTTGGAAAGGCCCCACGCTTTAATGCTTTAAGGCCGCTTTCAGCAGCTTGCCTGCACGGCGCCCCCGCCAAACCCGGGAATGGACGAAACGTGATCGTAAGACGCACTTTGTTCAGAATGTGACGCGCTGCTCAATAAGTTATTGATTTTTCATACATGATACAGAAATAGCATCATGCAACAAACAAACATGCACACATCTAACTTGCTTTCCGGCGCGGGCGGACTTCTTTGGGAGCTGGCGTCGCAATGTCTGGCGCCCCTCGTGGCGGAAGGACGACGAACGGCGGGCCGGCGCCCCGACTCGGACCCGCCACGGCTCGACGCGCCGCTCTGGGCGAACACTCGCGCCAGCTGGGCTGAGTCGGCGCCTTTACAATTCTCACACCCACCCGGGACACTTGTCAAGCTGAAGTTGGCCCGGCCTCCTCCGGAGGACAGTAAGACTTAAAAGAGGGAAACGACTCCGCGGAAATAATGCAACGGTGTGTGCTTTTGTACGTACGCTTAAGGTTTTGGGCTATCTTCTCGTCCGGGCTGCACGTCCTCTTCTCCATAATCCCAAACATCTGTACTCAATCGCCTTGTTGTGGCCGTGTTGGGACACCAGTATGTCATGGATGCGGCCCTGGGCGCGAACCAGGATGTGCACGTGTTTAACTTTCAACAGCAGACCGAGAACCACTCACGTGCTTAGTCCTGACAAAGGGCCTTGGCCCTGACAGCAGACTGAGAACCAGTCACGTGTTTAGTACCGGCGGCAGCCTGAGAGCCGGTCACGTGCTTAGCCCCGGCAGCAGACAGAGAGCCAGTCACGTGCTCACTCCTGGCAGCAGACAGAGAGCCAGTCACGTGCTCAGTCCCGGCATCAGACAGAACTAGTCACGTGCTTAGTCCTTGCGACAGACTGAGAACCAGTCACGTGCTCAGTCCTGGCAGCAGACTGAGAACCAGTCACGTGCTCAGTCCTCGCAGAAGACTGAGACCATCCAACGAGGCTGCGACCCCTGATCAGCTGACAGGCCCGGTCTCGGCCGACTGCTTATCCTGCGGCTCTGGTTCCCGCCCCGTGGCGGCAGCAGCCGCCGGTCACTGGGGTCACCAGCCCCGCCGCCGCCGCCGCTAATCGGCTGGGTGGGCCGCGCCAGCCCGTGTTCCGCCCAGCTCTGACGCACGTGGCGGCCCCACAACCGGGCCCCCAGGCCTCGCCGACTGGCGCCACTCCAGACGGCCCACCGTCCGCCGGTGACCGGAAGGGCAGCCCCACAGGCTGGCGCCGCCGCCGGCACCATCCGTCTGCAGCGCGGTCCAGTTCGTGCCGCTGGGACCGGCCTAGGGCCGCTCGGCCTCCTCCGCGGTAAATCCACGTCCAGACCGGGTGGGCGAGTCAAGGGATCGGGCGGACGCATCACGGGACCAAGCGGACGCGTCACGGGACCGGGCGGACGCGTCATGGGACGGAGCGGACGCGTCCTGGGACCGGGCGGACGCGTCGCGGGACCGGGCGGACGAGTCACGGGACCGGGCGGACGCGTCACGGGACCGAGCGGACGCGTCCTGGGACCGAGCGGACGCGTCCTGGGACCGGGCGGACGCGTCATGGGACCGAGCGGACGCGTCACGGGACCAGGCGGACGCGTCACGGGACCGGGCGGACGCGTCACGGGACCGGGCGGACGCGTCGTACGGGCGGACGCGTCACGGGACCGGGCGGACGCGTCCTGGGACCGGGCGGACGCGGCCGCGGCGTATCCCGTCACAGGGGCGTCCCGGCGTCCCAGTCGGCCGGCAGAGGCCACGGTCCCGGCTCGTGCCGTGACCGAGCGGCGTGTTCCGGGCCGCAGCCGACGCCACAGGCGGCCGTCAGCCGGCGCAACAGCTGCCGTCGCCGGCCTAACAAAACAGCACGACAACGTCGACCGCCACCGCCGCCTCGCTCCGTCAACAGGCGAAGCTGGACCGGCGAACAGAGCCGGAGGCGGCGCCCGGCCAACGCGGCGACGCCGGCTGGACGGCGACCTGGGCACCATGCCAGTCATTGAAATGGCTCGATGAGCTGCTCTCACAGGACTCATCACATAGATGGATGAGAAGCGGCTGCAGCGTGCATGGACCTCCATCCTTCACATGACGCTTGTGGTGGGGGCTCCAGCGGGTGGTCTGCCAGAATGGCAAGCTGGTTTAAAATCCTCTGACTGGATTTGTTTGGATCTGGCTGTAATATCACAGTAGTTCCAGCTGGCAACCACAATGAATAACTGCTGGCTGCTTTTGAGGGATGCTACAAATTTTACCCAAAGCAAGATGCAAAAGAAAAAACACCTGAGACACTGAGTGCTGTTGATACTTATGAGCCTGCTGCACCTGGACAGTAATAAGAAAATCAAGCTTACCTTCCCTGGATGCATCCAAATCATATTTTGTCCTCATGGTTGTCCAGCAGAACTGCCCAATTTTATCCTGAAAGTAGTAGCACTGTTAACTGGCACATATTGCAAACACGTAGTCAAAACAAAGTATGGATGCAGGCTTCCGTACTCTTTGAGCCAGTAATGCAAAGCAAGGTCTTAGCTAGGTTTAAGTAGGTTTAGCTAGGTTAGCTAGATCTGTTTCTTCCAGCCATCAATGCAGCCTCTCTTAGATGGAACAAGCCTGGATTTAGTGGGTTGAATGTAAACAGATGATTTGGGAGGGAAGTAATGAAAGTCAGTGGCCATTGTACCTACTAACCATGATTTACAAGTTTCCAAAAGCATACTTCCCACCACTTTCACTCCCTAGGTCCCACGCAAAACGAATCGTGGCACTGACTTTTGTCCTTGTGTGGTACGGGTCCACAGCCACATCACATGGCGGAGTTGACAGAGCTTCCCAACAAAGCACCAGAGCCCATGCCGGCTCAGTTTGGCGAAAGCAAACAACTCTACCATTCCCCGTTCCATTCCACATCAGAAGAACTGATCACAGACCACACACGTCTTCCCAACCACCAAATACCTACCCACGCGACCACGGACCCACCCCGCGCCGCGACCAACCGAGTCCACCAACACACCACACACCTAACACGTTCCGCACAGCTCGGTGCCGCCCACTCCCACGCGCGCACGGGCGCAACGCATGGGGAACACGGAGAAGATATCCTGTTCGGTACCAGACCGTTTCTGCTGTCATTGCCTTAGGGCATGATAATAGGCGCATCCAGGGACGGATGTCGTTCCAGCTGTGGCTCTTGCCATGTTACCATAGCTCTGCTTGACGCTCCTTTGAAAGCATTTTGCACGCTGAAGAAACTTTGATTTAAGAAACGACTTAAGTAAAAACATCAGTCTGCAAAGAAAACGACGGCTTTTTCATTGAAACGGCAAAACCAAAGCCGAAAAAAGTTACGAATACGTCACAGCTCGGGCACCACTGAGAGGATCAAAAAGCCATACATATTTGTTGAGTCAGTGCTAGGTCAACTGGAAACGACTTAATACACATTCGAGAAAAGGTTAAGAGGAAGTCCAAAGTATTCGTTTGGGAATGGAACGGAAATGTTGGTTTCAAAACAACATGACTTAGGACGTCATAAATGTTCTTTGTAGTGATTGGTGCATTGAAGTGTGTGCACAAACTGAGTTTGCACCGAGCATAGCGCATTTGTCTACAATCGCGGCGTGGCCGATACGTTTCTAGCGAGCATTGTTTTGGTGTTTTGGATTCTAACCGGTCCGAGCGGTGGTGCCTAGCAAATGTGGTAGGCAGTTATTCGGCTGTGGAATATTTATCAACGTATTTCCTTTGCAGTGACGTTTAGGCTGCAGCCTGATGTGTTCCTTTGTACAGATTGCTGATGATGTCACCCACCATTAATGTCACCCACTATGATTTAATGCTATGGATTCAAAGTGGATGAAAAATTGAGGGTCTGGGCTAATGTCCTGTAAATGTATTATCTACCGTAGTATGAGGCGTCTCATAATAGCATGTGCTGCCTACATTGGGACATTCTGTGTGAAAATTTAGAACATCTGTCCCAAACTTTGTTTCTACTCAAGTCCTATCCCAGCAAGATCCTGAAGGGGTCTCTCATCCTTTGCATATACTTGTGAAGATATCCCTTGTCTGTATATGACGTTTAGCATTTTATGACATTTTGAAAATCTATTGTACATTTATCCAGCAGCCACTCTATACCCTAAAGGCAAGACATTTTCAGGGATAGGTTTTGTGTGTAAGGGTATGTCACAGTACTTTTTCCATCAGATTAAATGCAGTTGTCCAATTTTGATTCTCTTTTTGTTCTTTTCATAGCAATATTAGTCTCAATAAAAACCTTTATATCAATCTGCAGTGCTACTACTAAGTGAGAACTCTGACCACTTCATTCACTCCCACCAGGTGTGGCAGACATTAGGCATAATGCAGCCATCCATTTTGAAAGAAGGCATTCTCCACCATCTGGACCATCCAGTTGTGTTCTCCTCCATGGTGGGGACATGGGATTGTGCTCATTGGTCCCTGGAAGACTGGGCTACATGCTTTGGAGATCAAGTCTTGGACTTCAGGGTTGGAAAACAGGATGAATTGGTATGCCATCAAGTTGTGTGTGATGGGTATTGTGATATTTTTTAATGCTATCTAAGTCCCAATGGATGGTATTGTTTGTAATGATGCTATCATCATTTCATTATGATGGCATTGTTCATTAAAATATCCTCTTTTTGTTTTGATGAGGCTCAGAGATGGCTTAATTCTAGCTGGACCTGTACTGCATGTTTATGTAAATATTCTAGCATATGCTACAAGCCATGGTGATATCCCGAACCTCAAATATTGCTCTGTTCTGAGCTTCCCATAACAGCAATGAGTCATAATACACTACCCTAGTCATGAAGTCATGACATGTTCTAATCATGTCTGAATGATAGTAGCCTGGCTGGCTACTGTCATTATTCCTTGTCTCTTGCTTCCCAGTGGGCTGGGTGCTCTCCCATCTTCTGTTACTTGTCAAGCTGCTCCCACTTCCACCCTCTGTCTCAGGTGGCTGCTGCCCCCACCCTCTGTCTCAGGTGGCTGCTGCCCCCACCCTCTGCCTCAGGTGGCTGCTGCCCCCACCCTCTGCCTCAGGTGGCTGCTGCCCCCACCCTCTGCCTCAGGTGGCTGCTGCCCTCACCCTCTGCCTCAGGTGGCTGCTGCCCCCACCCTCTGCCTCAGGTGGCTGCTGCCCGCACCTCTGCCTCAGGTGGCTGTGCCCCTCACCCTCTGTCTCAGGTGGTGCTGCCTCCCCTCTGTCTCAGGTTGCTGCTGCCCTCACCCTCTGCCTCAGGTGGCTGCTGCACTCACCCTCTGCCTCAGGTGGCTGCTGCCCTAAACCCTAATGCCTCAGGTGGCTGCTGCCCTCCCCGCTGCCTCAGTTGGTGCCTGCCCCCACCCTCTGCCTCAGGTGGCTGCTGCCCTCACCCTCTGTCTGATGCTGCCTGTTGTCCTCATCCTCTGCTCTGCTGTGCTAGCTCCCTCATCCTCTGCTCTGTGCCTCCCGCAGGCTGCTCCACACTGAACCCTCCACCCGTGCCCCCGGCAGGCTGGCGCCGGGCCGCAGTGGGAGGCGGGTCTGGCTGCCGCGCCAGCCACGGTGCGCCAGCTGCTGGACTGGGCGGCCGGCCGGCCGGGCAAGCGGCGCCGCTCGCAGGAATGTCTGCCGCCGCTGGCCGCCTACCCGCCCGACCGCTGCTGGGCCTACCTCGCCTACAAACACCTGGCGCACCTGATGACGCCGCACGCCGCCGCCAAGCTGGTGAGAGCCGCGGCGCGGCCGGCCGGCACCGGGTGAGAGTCGGGCCGGCCGGCACCGGCTGAGAGTCGGGCCGGCCGGCACCGGGTGAGAGTCGGGCCGGCCGGCACCGGGTGAGAGTCGGGCCGGCCGGCACCAGGTGAGAGTCGGGCTGGCCGGCACCGGGTGAGAGTCGGGCTGGCCGGCACTGGGTGAGAGTCGGGCTGGCCGGCACCGGGTGAGAGTCGGGCTGGCCGGCACCAGGTGAGAGTCGGGCTGGCCGGCACCGGGTGAGAGTCGGGTCGGCCGGCACTGGGTGAGAGTCGGGTTGACCGTGTTCTCGTCCGTTAACTCGCCCACTGTGGCAATGTCCTGCCCCCGCGGCTGGCGCCGGTCCTCAGTCAGGTCCCGTGCCGTCCTCGCGCCACTGCGACCGTGACCGGCGCCGCTACCGCCGCAGGGCATCGACTGGGGCGTCTTCGGGTTCGCCGGCCGGGGCGCGGCGGAGAGCACCTTCTGGCTGGGCACGGCCGGCGCCCACACACTCTGCCACCGCGACACGTACGGCCTCAACCTGGTGGTGCAGCTGGCGGGCCGGTGAGTCCGCCAGCCGGCGTCCGGCGCTGGCTGAGGGCCGAGGCAGCACCGACCGGCTGCCAGCCCGGTGCTCCCCGTGTGTACACGTGTGCTTGCGTGCGTTCGTTTATGGTGAAGACTTTCCAGAAATGAAAGGGGATGCTCACCTCATGGCTGCGATAGCGCTGTGTTCTGTGCTTATTGCGTGCACGTTATTGTCTTTTCCCACCGCATTTGGTGCGATAGGTCGTGTCAGTTTGTCCGTTCCGGTAACTCTGCTAGAGCGTCCGTTTGTTGATTCACCTGTCTGATGTGGGGTGGGTTCGAGTCGCTTTAAGAGCTCGCTGTTTGTCCTTGACTGGGATAGCATGCGGCCGGTGAGAACAGGCGTGATAAGCGCAGGTGGCAGCAGATGGCCGGGAGGGTCGTGGTGAGCTTTGCGGCATGTTATATTTCGCCGCGGATCTGTACGGTTGACCTGTATTTTCACGAGAGATGGTGGTGCTGGGACGGACACAGCAAGCGTTTGTTCTGGCACCAGAAATCCATACATCCAGAAATGAGTCATAAATATGCTTCCACCCATAACCATTTAATATTGTTTGAAATACTATGCATTTCTCACGGCTCAGGAATGTGAAGTCAAAATAATATTGCATTTTTTAGCCAAGTAATAGGAAGCAATGTGTCAAAGGTATGATTAGAATGTCGCACCCGCTGCACCGATATTGTTATCACCACATGTATGTAGTGCACCTTCTCCAAAGTCACCGCCTTTTCATTCAACAGCAAACCGACAACCGAGCGGTTCGTTCTGAGATGTGGCGCTCAGCGCCGCCATGCATCATGTCTCGCCGCGTTTGGATCGCCTCGGGAGCAGACGGTGCACGGAGCCGGTGGAGCGTGCCCTGGAGCGTGCGCTGGATCGTGCGGTGGAGCGTGCGCTGAAGTGTGCGCTGGAGCGTGCGCTGGAGTGTGCGCTGAAGTGTGCGCTGGAGTGTGCGCTGGAGCGCGCGGTGGAGCGGCACGTCTCGGTAGAATGACCGCTACGGCCTTGCAGGAAGCGGTGGACACTATTCCCGCCGGCGGACGGGCCCCTGCTGTACCCGACGCGCGTGCCGTACGAGGAATCAACCGTGTTCAGCGCCGCCGACCTGCGTCGGCCCGACTTCCACCGGTTCCCAGGTCAGTGGAGGCCGTCGGTCGGACCGGCGCCGCAGCCCGCTAGCACGCCGCTGAACGGCAGTGCAGCTACTGTAGATCTCGGAAGAAGATGGTGCGGATCTGGGAGGCAGACCGCTGTGCGTCGCGTGAAAGTAATGCTAATCGTTCGATCTGGTGCACGGCTGTTGCACCGCTTCCTGTCTCGTGTGCATTACTCATGCCCTAGTTGAATATGTTCCCGCGACCTCCGCTTAGGGCCATATAATTCCATTTCGCTCGGGTCACGATAGCTCAAGATCGATAATGTTACATGATGGACGGCCATCAGTTGTCCTCGCCCCGGACATACTACTTCCTCGCACGCAGATGTTCGGAAGCCCATGTCAGGAGCCTGTTTCAATCCCGGCGCGCATGGCTGTCCCAGGGCTCCTGTCCAGCAGAGACGTGCCCTTACCGGGTGTAGGCGACCCGACTGTGAATGCGTTTCAGTGCGTGACCTGCTGTAGACGCTTGCCCCCATTCGGAGGTGGCTTCTGTGCGCTGTGAACTCCGCTGACGCTCCCATTCGCCTCTGACAAGCTCAGGTTCGTCAAAACGGGCGCCATCCGACGTCGCGCAACGAACGGCAGGCCGACCGGGGCCGGTGGGTTTTCCTCATACCGCGTGTATCGGCTTTCACGTTCCGAGCACGAACAATGCCCAGTTTTCTGCAGCGGCATCCTCGATGCGCGATCATGACTGAAACCGTGTTAGATGGGCCGCCCGGCCAGATGTACGTGATGCTCATACTCGCCGAGTCCTCTCCAACACGGACGTGTGCTCCCCAGACTTGGCGTCTACACACCCACACATCGTGGTGCTGGAGCCTGGTGAGGCCCTGCTGGTGCCGCGACACTGGTGGCACCTGGTGGAAAACCTGGAAACGTCCGTATCCATAAACACCTGGGTCAACTTGGTCAGTCGGCGCTCTGATGGCTGCGGTGACGCGCGGTGTATATTTTAATGTCTGTCATATTTGCCCTTCTACCTGGATCCATGTTTGGGCAGCCTTGTCCCTTGTAAAACGTGTTCTAAGATTCTGTTCTGCATACACTGCTGGTCTACGTGAGGCGAAAAGTGAATGGAAACGATCCGTTTCGAGCAGTTACTTTTCTTGGAAGTGAATCCTAATAGACATAACCAAACCCCATAGATGGCGGTGCAGGTGGTAGAACTGTGGATGCCGATAAATCCAACGGTTTATCACGGCAACTTGTATCCAAAGTTAACGTAAGGTTGTCGTTGGTGGTAGCTCCATCAAAGTGACAACATCACACTTGATAGTTGCTAGTTGTAGGGCCGTACCGCTGGCCGCCGCCCCAGCCTGCCCCGGTCAGCGGCACGCATCATTCCCCCCCCCCCCCTCACGTGTCGCTGGCGGCCGTCCCAGCCTGCCCCGGTCAGCGGCACTCATCGCCCCCTCCCCTCACGCGCCGCTCACTGCCGCAGCCGGCGGATGACGCCGCCCGGCTGGAGGAGGCCCTGGTGCGCACGGTGGTGAGCCGGCTGCCCGCCGACGCCGACGCCCACCGGCTCCTGCTCAATGATCCGACCGAGGTCAGTCGGACGGCCGCCGGCGAATGGGGAGGGGGCAGCGACGAGAGCCGACACCTGTGGAGACACGTGCATAAGCGCACGGTAGAGCTCGAGCCGCGCGCTCACGGCGGCGCCCTTCTAGTGGCACGTGGCTGGACTGTATACATCCCCCCGCAGAGGCACCGGCTTCGGCCGGTGTAGGGGACTAGCGCCCCCTCGGGTCCCAGCTCCGGTAACAGGTGGACAGTGCAAGCTGTTCCTCTCAGGACGTAGCGATCCTGTCGGTACGTGAGCTCCCGCTCCTGGTCCCGCCCGCTCCCTTCCCATACCCGCTGTCCTGCATCCGGCCCACCACCACTCCTAATCCTCGTTTTATCGGGATCGCTATGCCCCCTCGTCCGCGTCCCCGGGTTGATCGGATCCTGGTGGCTGAGGGACGCGTCGTGCGGGTCAGTCACGGCGCGTCCCAACACCCCACTTTGTCCAGGATATCCGGGGGCGCGGGGAGCCCGTGGAGCCCACACGGGTCTAGCGGCTTGTCGCTTGCGCTGTGGCTGGGTGCTCCGTGCGGGTCTCCGCTTGGGGCACCTGGCCGTGCGCAGCGGCCAGGGTCAAGGGGCGGCGGCGCTGAACCACGCTCAGGACGGGGAGGGGTCTCCCAGGTTACACCTAGTAGTAGGAAAGTAGGTAAGTAAACGGACTACGTTTCTCGACTTCGAAAACAGTCGCTATGCACTTTTGCAGACGACGTCGTCAATGTCTCGCCATGGCTTTAAGGTTATCCAGCCAGACCATTCCGAACCAATCTGGTGCCCGCTTCTTGGATCTGCAGTTTGATAACCGTTTGATGTGTGGGTCACATCTGAAAACCCCACGTGACAACTATTTAAAGCATTGAACATGTTGAAGTATGTGTCTCGAACATGTTATGGAGCGGACAGAAGAACACTGTTACTGCTATACCGCTCACTTATACGTTCGAAACATGACCATAGCTGTATTATTTATGACCGCGCGCCGGGTTCCTGCACACGTTTACTAGACACCGTGCATCATAACGCATTACGCATTGTGACGGGGGGATTCAGGACGTCGCCAGTTGCTAGCCTTACCGTGGAAGTAAATGAGCCGGCGTTGGCACTGAGAAGGGAAATGCTTGGCATGCGGTACTTTTGCAAGCTGGCTCAATTTCCGAACCATCCGACTCACCGAGCAATTTTTTTCACGAGATGTTGAAAGCATATTCCAAAGTAGCGGAAGGCGGTCCGTTATTCCATTTGATGTCCAGATGAAGAAGCTGTTCCGGGAAAGTGACATAAGTCCGCGTGGTGTGCTAAGGTCGCGTCCTGTATTGGTGCCTCCATGGGAGCTAATCTCACCAAAAGTGGATGTATCTCTTTCATACACCAGCAAACAGGGAGCGATCCCATGCGACTTAAGATCGAAGGCTCTGGAGCACATCGGGTCGTATATAGGTTTTCAAGCCACGGATACTGATGGATCCAAAACGGAGGTGGGCGTTGGTGCTGCATTTGTAAATGGACAAGCCATCCAGTCCTTTTCTTTACCGAAACACGCCTCAGTTTACACGTCCGAGCTCGTTGCAATCAGTAAAGCCCTATGCTTCATCGAAGTCGGTGAGAACAACTCACAGGTGATCTTATCCGATTCTTTGAGCAGCCTGTTGGCCCTGACAGCCTTTAACCCACCTTGTCCCATTATACAGGATATTTTAGTTCGCCTGACAGCGCTGCATCTTGCTGCTAAAACTGTCGTCTTATGTTGGCTACCGAGTTATGTGGGTATCACAAGTAACGAACGTGCTGACGCGGCCGCAAAACGGGCAGCGCGTGCACCTTGCACCTGTTATTTACCCCTGCCGGCAAGGGACTTTTACCCTGTCCATCGCGACCTTTGTGAAAGGGAAATGGCAACGCTGCTGGGACGCCATTGTAAGCAATAAGTTAAAGGTGTTCAAGCCACAACTGGGTTCATGGCCTGGACAGTCAAGCTCACGTAAGTTGAGACGCGAGGAAATAACCCTCAGCAGATTACGAATTGGCCACACGCACGCAACACATAGCTACCTTTTGTGCGGTGGAGAACGGCCTAAATGTCCTCGTTGTGATGCGCTACTTACGGTTTGCTACGTAATTCACTCCTGCCCACAGTTCAACGAAGAGCGGGCACTTAACTTCAGACGAGATGCGTCAGGTCTTACCTTTTCAGACCTTATTGGCGACGATTCTCGCATGCTTGGCACCGGACAGCTGTTTTCATTTTTGAGAAGCGTAGGATTCACAGCCATTTATACACCTCGGTAAACACCTAGCTGCTATGGGCGCAAAATGACCCCAGAAGTCGGCGCGCCTTAAAACCCCAATCATCACCATCATCGACTGTATCGATCCAGAAGATTGTATTTCACGCCTGCTTGCCCTCAGTCCTTGCGCTTTATATGTGACGTGCTGAATGTGGTACCAATGTTATGAGCTTCGCTATCCTACTTGACAGTGGGGGGTCTGGTTTTACATGCTGTATTGCATCGAAAATCCTTCGCAGCAGATGACGTCTGGGTAGTTTTTATCTCTTCACGACGTGCGTGAATACAAGCGTGCGCGCGCGCGCCGCTATGCACTGGGGATGAGTGGGCTGCGCTGTGACCCCTGCACCCCAGCGTGACCGCGCCGCCGGCTCTTCCCGCAGCGGCCGTGGCCTCCGGAGCTGTGCCTGTCCACGCTGCAGGCGACGGCCGAGGCGGTGCGCCGGCCGCCGGCGCCGCAGCCCACCGACCGGCGCGCCTTCTGGGCGACGTTCCGCGCCTGGCCGGGAGGCCGCCGGGTGCCGGCATCCGCCCCCTCGGCCCTGCTGCGCGGCCCCGGCCCGGCAGCGGCCGCGCCAGCCGCCGCAGACGAACGGACCAGCTCGCCGCCGCCGGCCGACAGCCGGGACGTGCTGGCCGCCCTGGTGCAGGCCGTCACAGACCCGGCCGTGGTGGCGAGCGCCGCCGACGCGTTCCAGAGGGCGCTGCTGCAGCGGCGGAGGGCGAAGGAGCGGATCTGACCTGGCCGCGCCGCCGGGAGGTGAAGAGAAGTGCTGTGAGGCCGTGCGGGCCGGGCGCGAGGTGCCGGAGTCGCGGTGTTACAGCGCTAGTGCAACGCAACGTCGGCGACGAGCTGGTGTAACGAGTTACCACGCGTGCAGGACCGCAATACAACACCCGACCGCCACGTCCGTGTATATTCTGCCGCCCGACTCAGCGAGTCCGCCACTCCCAGCGAAGGCCAGAGAGGCATGCGCGGATACAAAAGAGTCCCTGCCGGGCGACGCGTTAAGGACGGCTCACACGCCGCAGCGCGGAGCGGCAGCGCGCGCCGCGCCCACGATAACAGAGTACAAACAACGCGATTGCAGGGGGGCCGCGCACGGGTCCCCGCGCCGGGGCCGCGCGTCTCGGCCACACGTGGTCCAGCGCACGGCATGCAGCGTCTGGGCTGCCGTCTCTCGCGCGCGCAGGCCGAGTCACCGCGCCCGCCGGCGCCCTCGCACGCGGCCACAGCAGTAAGTAGTTGATTCACAAGTCCACTTGTACAAACCCCGGTACAAATCGCGGCTGCTGGCCACCGACCTGCCAGACTCGCATCCGCGCCGCGTCACGCACGGGACGTCCCGTCCAAGCCATTTGTACACGTCCGGGCGGAGGCCGCGGCCACGCATGGCCCACGGCGGCGCCGCGCCAGCGGGCGGCCGGGCCCGGTTCCGCTGCCGTCGCTCTGCGGCAGCGGGGCGACAGGTTAGCCCGCCCTCCGCTCTCTCGCTGCCGCCGCCTACGACTTGGCCAGCCGCAGCACGTGCAGGATCACCTCGTCCACCGTCTGGCTGTTGAGCAGCGTCTTGACGGCGTTGTCGTCGATCACCACGGTGAACAGCAGCTTGGCGTTCTCCCTGCAGGAGGCGCGGTTTCGGTCAACGCTCGCGGATCAGCCCGACGCCAGCCAGGTGGACACCGCTGAAACAGCTCCAGGCCAGGCACTCGACCACCGGGTCGGGTAGAAGCATGCATAAGGGCAACACATTTGTTTCGGCTGGCGCGCTTGACAGCGTCCTGTTCCGTTCCATTACATCCCGTCCCATCCCTCCCCGTCCCCCCGTCCCCGATCCCCGATCCCCCCCCCCCGACCCCGTCCCGTCCCCGTACCCCGTCCCCGTCCCCGTCCCCGTCCCCGTCCCCGTCCCCCGTCCCCGTCCCCGTCCCCGTCCCCGTCCCCGTCCCCGTCCCGTCGCACCTGAGCCGGTCGTCGTAGCTGAGGTGGGCGTCGTCGATGGGCGCGTGGCCGCAGCGGCGGATCACCGACTCGAGCACCTGCTCCACCGGCTGCTGCGGGTGGCCGAACGCCTGCAGGGTGGCGTCGTCCACCAGCAGCGAGAGCAGCTCGCGCAGCGCCTCGCCCAGGGCCTGGTCCGAGAGCGTGCCGCGGCCGGACGTGTCGAGCTGCTCGGCCGGCAGCGGCGCCAGCAGCGCCTCGGCCCCGGCGGCGCCGCCGCCTGCCCGGTCACGGGGTCACCGTTAGCGCCGGCAGGCACGGCACGGAGCGGCCGCGCGGGATCATCTCCCAGGTAATAACCCAAGATCCTCGGAAATTCCGTCAGTGTAAGATTTGTGAAGGGCCCAGGTGCAGGTACCTAGAAATGTGGCTGACGGGCACACAGCCGGACGTACTGACAGTTCATAACACGCACATGCCAAAATGCAAATGATGTTGGAAGCCTAGCATGCCTGAAAGCGTAGTGTAAAGCACATGCGACAAGAGCATACCTACACATCAGTGTTTGATCAGTTTTTTAATCAACTCAGCCCAATAATTTACAATATGAAAACTTAACAACACGAGTGCACTAAATGCGGTGCCTTCAGTCCCCAGTTGTGGGAAAGTTTTGGCGCTGGCTGTCCGTCACCAGTAAAATAAATGAGGTGGCTCGACAACCTCACACGCCGAAAAGCCAGGCGCGGAGCAAAAACGTCTTTGCCAAAGCAACAGCATTTTGACATCACCAAACTCGCTTTATTACACGCAGCGCAAACGACATGCACTAAATACATCCACCAAATGGCACACCCAATACCACCCTTCCGCGGAAATCAACAAGTTCTCATCTGTGAACGAAACAGCCGTCTGCATCGGCCAGCGCTCCGCCCAGTACCTTCGGCGTTGAACGAGATGAGCTGCTGCTGGATCTTCTTCTTCTCGGCCTCTGCCATGATCTGGTCGAGCATCTCGCGGTGCTTCTTGCGCATGTGGCGCAGCAGGCAGTCCTGCCGGATGAAGGCGCGGCCGCACTCCTCGCACGAGCGGGGCGGTTCCTGTCGGCGGCCCGCGCGGGTCAGCCCACCGGTCGGCCGTTATCGGTCAGACGGACCGTCAACGGTCATCGGACAGGTCCGCCCTGTTCGGCACAGCAGGGGCACCGAGCAGCCGGGAGACGGCCGGGGCTGCGCTGCGCTTAAGTGTTCCGGAAATTTGGTGAAGAGGACCATGTTTAATTCTACTACTTCCAAGCCATTCACTGGGCTTTCCCGCCTTTTTCTGAAGATACGCAACAAGACTCTGACAAGCATGAGTCCCACAACTGCGGCCTCCGCAACCTGGCCACTCACCTTGGTATGCGTCAGCAAGGTGGATCTTGAGCGAGGGCTTGATGGCGAACGTCTTCTCGCAGATGGGACAGCGGTGCACCTTGGTGCCGCGGTGGAGCACGCTGTGACGCGCCAGGTCCTCCTTGCGCACGAACGTCTTGTCGCACGTCGCGCACTCGAAGCCCTTCTTGCCCTCGTGCACGTACTCAACATGCATCCTGCCGGTGGTGAAAGGGGGGGGGGGGGCGGCGCTGTCACGGGACCGACGGCGGCGGCTGTCAATCCGCGCCGACGCACGGCAAACACGGCCCCCTGACGGGTGACGGGCCGTGACGCGCAGCACGACCGCCTCGCTGCGCCACATCCACCGTAGCAGAGACGCAGGGACGACGGAGACGGGAGGGAGAGCGGTGAGGCTCAGTATTACACAGGGAAAACGCGCAAACCGGACGGTTTTCTGTTCATTATGACACATGGTTGCCTCTCAACACGCGGTCACTGCAAGGCAATGGGCGGTGACCTGGAACGACCTGGCGGTGACCGTCCCCCTCACACTCAGGCTGAGCGAGCCAGCCCCGTCCACCCGCCTCACCAGGGGCGGGCTGCTACACAGGATGCCTCGCTCGGCGCTGGCGAGCCGCCGCGTCACCCACCTGAGCCGGACCTTCCTGTTGAAGCTGCGGTCGCAGTGGGCGCACTTGAAGCCGCCCTGGCCGGTGTGGTGGAAGATGTGACTCTTGAGCTGGGACGCCTGGATGAACGACTTGCCGCAGTACTGGCACGTGTGCGGCTTGACGCCCGTGTGCGTGCGCACGTGCCGATTGAGCGTCTCCTTGGCCGAGAAGCGCGCCAGGCAGTGTTTGCACTCGTAGGGCTTCTCGCCCGTGTGGATGCGCCGGTGCTTCTTGTAGGCGCCGATCGAGGGGAAGTTCTTCTCGCAGAAGTCGCACTGGTAGGGCCGCTCCCCCGTGTGCGTGCGCAGGTGCACCTGTCGACGGCCGGGCGGCGGACCCGCGTCACTCGCGGCGGCAGGACGGCGAAGCTACCGGTGACGCCAGCCAGACACGCGCACGCCCGACATTGTGACAATGGTGTTTGGGAGCTCGGCATCGCTCGGCTGCGCAGGACATCACACCCATCTGCCACGACGCTGTGTTGACAGCCGTCACACGGCGTGCCTACGTCAGAGAGGCGACCGCCGACCACTGCAGCCCCAGCCGTCACAAGGCGTGCCTATGTCAGAGAGGTGACCGCCGACCACTGCAGTCCCAGCCGTCCGGCCGGCTCCCGTCCCAGCCGTCCGACCGGCTCCCGCCCCAGCCATCCGGCCGGCTCCCGCCCAAGCCATCCGGCCGGCTCCCGCCCCAGCCGTCCGACCGGCTCCCGCCCCAGCCATCCGGCCGGCTCCCGCCCAAGCCATCCGGCCGGCTCCCGTCCCAGCCGTCCAGCCGGCTCCCGCCCCAGCCATCCGGCCGGCTCCCGCCCAAGCCATCCGGCCGGCTCCCGCCCCAGCCGTCCGACCGGCTCCCGCCCCAGCCATCCGGCCGGCTCCCGTCCCAGCCATCCGGCTGGCTCCCGCCCAAGCCATCCGGCCGGCTCCCGTCCCAGCCGTCCAGCCGGCTCCCGCCCAAGCCATCCGGCCGGCTCCCGCCCCAGCCGTCCAGCCGGCTCCCGCCCAAGCCATCCGGCCGGCTCCCGTCCCAGCCATCCGGCCGGCGAGCACCTCACCTGCAACAGCGTGGAGCCGAAGAACTGCTTCTCGCAGTAGTGGCAGGTGTAGCACTTCTTGCGGCGCACTTGGCCGGCGTGCGCGCGCAGGTGTTCGCGCAGGTTGTCCTTGCGCGTGAACATCTTGCCGCACACCTGCAACGGCCGGCGGGCGGGGCGTCAGCTGAGCCCTGCCGTCAGCTGAGCCGGGCGGGGCCGCGAGCCCTGCTGGACGGACCGGCCGCAGCTGGCGCTCATGGCGGTCCAGACCCCATCACACGCCACCAGCACTTCCACTGTGTGTGCGTCATGTCCGGCGATGGGCGGCACGAAAATGTCCGCTGCTATACTCGTCAGGAATTGAACGAGCTAGTGATCTCCGTTCAAGAAATAGGATGGGCAGGTGTGAGTTAATTTTCAGGGAGGCTGGCTTCATGGTGTAGCGTGGAACGGATATAAAATGGACACACGGAAGACTTTGAGCCTCCAAAGCAGTGTGATGAAGACCAGAGGCGTGCGTGACCAAACGAGGGTCTGGAAACAAAAGGTGCATTTCAAAACGGACTACTTATCCGAGTTGTGTCACACTTATGACCAAGAAACGACAAACACGCATACCACGCCGGACAAGCGGATGCTACATTCATGCGGCTATGAGCTGACCTGTTAAAGAATAATATGGATCAAAACGTCTGCTGCGCGCACACTGTATCAGAACACGAAACGAGTTGGGAGCGGCAAGGCAGCGCGGTAGAAGACCGATGCCGGAACACAACAGCGGTAGATCAATAACCACAGGACCGAGCACAACGGACGGGTGTAATTCAGCATACCTCGTTCAGATCGCCCTCCTTCGAGGGCTCCTTGTAGCCATAAACAGACAAGAACATTCCGTGAGTTCTAACATGCATGTACCACACGCGGGTTGCGGAGACAAGTACGTATTGATAAAGCACGTATGCTTAATGTTCGTCAGGATAAAGCAAGAAGGGTGTTAAGTTCGTATGGGGAAAAGTTCGGAATGCCATAAGTACGTATGGATAAAGATGTCTTGGAATACTCCTCATAGAAGCATCACCCACCACACCGAAGTCAGCCCTCTCCGTACGTCGCCATACGCTTAATGTTCATCATTCTCAGAAAGTGGGGTGCATCCACGCCCCCCCCCCCCCCCCCCGCCGCCCACTCTTACGCCCCTGCTGCTCATAATTCATCGCGTATGCATTATCATATTCTCGAACATAATTGCTTGAGAACATTTGTGTACATGGTTGATGCATACGAATTCCACACGAACTTTTGTCCCGACAAACTTCTTTCAACATGAGCATTTTTTATACGCACTTTCTCCCATGCGAACATTTGCTTACGAACTTTTGCCAGCGAACTTCCGCCATACGAACTTGATACCTTACGCACGTTTGCTTACGAAGAATTACGTGTGTTATATGTATACGTACTTTTTCCATGCACAACTTTATCCTAAAACACCACAGGCGCCCTACGTCTAAAACTAGTCCACTCTCGGAGCAAAGCTGACCAATGACCGCCACATCACCAGCACGTGCTCCGTGACTGACCACTCCCCGTCAGGCAGACCCACCGCTTCAAGCATGCACCAGCCCCTTTCGCGGGCACAGCGGCCAACTCAGTCGGCACCAGAACGCCCTCGATTCCAAGTGCGGACCGAGCCGTCATCCCTCCGCGCTCAAACTCCCCTGGTCACACGGCAGTCCCACGGGGCGATCCGCGAGCGTCCCCCCTCCCCGCCGCCTTCCGACGGGGGACCCTCCCCGCCCGGACCGGCGCCGGCCGCTCACTCACCTGACACGGGTAGGCCGCCTTCGGCTTGCCGTCACAGCCCGTCTGCATCACGTGCCGGTCCAGGTGGTACTTGCGGCTGAAGTGCTTGTTGCACATCTGAAACGACCGAAAGTGTACCGCGAAAGCCGGTCGTCGGCTGACGGCGCCGGTCAGTGCTGGGAAGCCCTGTGGCCACGTGGGGCCTCGCAGCGATCGACCAGCGGACGGGTGCAGCGACTGGCTGAGCGCGTTGTGGCGCCCTGCTCTGATACATGACGGCGGCTCCATATGTAACTGGGCCTCAGCAGACTACAGCAAAATCCGAAAAAGGCAACACTCCCCAGTTACCCACAGGCGTCACGGTCGCGGAACCGGGCGCAGGCTCGACCCCGTCCCGGCAGCGGCCGCCCCGCCAGTGAGCTCGCGCCCGGGCCGGGCCTCACCTCGCACGTGTAGGGCTTGAGGCCGGTGTGGGTGTACATGTGGCGCGCCAGCGTGCCCTTGTCGGCGCAGCGGGCGCCGCACTGCGGACACTGGTGCACGTCGCCCTGGTGGTGGATGACGCGCTTGTGCCGGTCCACCGACGACTTCAGCCGGAACGTCTTCAGACAGTCGGCCACGTCGCACGGGAACTCGCCGCCCTGCGGACCGCGGTCGACCGACGCTCAGCTGTGCCGGCCGACACGGAGCGGCGCGGGGGGGGGGGGGGGGGCTTACGCTCGCGCAGGGGGCCATCGGGTGGTGGCTCAGCGGCGATACACTGACGGGGAGCGGCCGCGGTGACCGCTATGCAACGTGGCGACCGTTTTTCGTAGCCGCTTCCGTAATATTCTGGTGTAGCGCGCACACGGTAATATCCAAGACTAAATGGCATTGCCCCGCCTGAGTCAGACTTGCGGGGATTCTAAAGCGCATGGGAAGGGCGGTCAGCAGCGCGCGCCACCAGACGACGGCGTCACGACACGGCCCACTGACGGCGTCTGAGCCCCGGAGCCCGGCCTCCGCGGCGGCGGTCTGCGGGTCACGTGGCTGGTGGTGCCCGGACGGCCGGCGGTCGGCTCCATCGCCACTGACGGCGGCTGGCCCACCTTGTGTGCAGTGTCGATGCTCTCGCCGCAGCAGTGGCACTTGTCGGCCGAGATGTGCTCCAGCAGCTTGTTCACCTTCTCCAGCATCTCGTCTACGGACAGCGGGGGAGGCAGGGCGGTTTATGTCGGCGTTCGGCTTAGCGGCTTAGGTCGGCGGCCCTAGGCGCCGACACGCGCCGCCCACACGGCGAGAGCGACGCTGCTGACATCTGCCGAGCGCAGCACGAAACACAACGCCCGGGCCAACTGCGCCGGACCGAGGCAGGATACTTTGTACGGTCCTCCAGCGTGGCTGCTTGCGGCTGGTTGTACAGCCGTGCAGCAGCGTTCGCGGGCTCCACCGGACTGCTCTGGGGCGTTCGCGCAGAGCGGCATCCCGCCCCCCCCCCCCCCCCACACACACACCCGCTCTGACAATCCGTAGCATCCGGCTGAAGACTCAGCTCGCGTTCACGAGCACCACGGTGACACGCCCGTGCACATGTCGTGTCGGCGTGATCGGTGAAGGCGCCGCCGGCCGCACCGAGCTCCCCACTGACCTGTGACGGCGCCCTTCAGCAGCAGGTTGTGCTCGATGAGCACGCGGACCTGCTCGGGGTCGTCTGGCAGCAGGATCTCGCCCTGCTCCAGCACACGCACCGGCGGACGCAGGTCCACCGGCTCCGACCCAACCAGCACCACCGACGACGCGAAGTCGTCTCCTGCCCGAGGTGACGTCACGATCGGTCAGCGTGACGTCAGAGCTGGTCAGTGGTGCCCGGGTGCGGCGAGGTCAGACCTGACCACGGCCAACCCAGCTCAGACACGCCTTCAAAGACTGGTGCAGTCCGCGCAAGACGACTCGAGGCGCCCCAGCCCGAAGGAAGATGCTTCCAGTCGTGACACCGAAGGCCTATTTAAATCGCTCCAATCTCCAAACGGTCGTCTCTGGGACACAGCATCTCTCCATATCAAGACATCAGATGCAACTGTCAAACACAGCGCGGCCCTCAGCCTGGCTCTGCCGGCCAGACGCTGACGACGGCTGACCACGCGGGCCGTCACCGCCCGGAGAGGACAGGCGCGGGCGCCGTGGCTGGCCGCCGCACTGACCGGCCGCGTGGTCCCCGTCGGGCGGCGCCGGCTCCTGCTTCTGCGGGCCGGCCGCCGAGCTGGCGCCGGCCGGCCCCGGCTCCGAGCGCGCCACCGGCATCAGCGTGATGTCTGCCAACGGACGGGACGACGGGCTTCACCGCCGGCGCACGCGCGCGCGGAACGGCGACACGCACACACGGAGGCACACGGCCTCCACAGACGGCGGGATGGGTCAACCAACGCGCGAAACATTGCTGACTTTTGCCGTGGCGGTCCGGGCAGTTATTTGTGGCATCATAGCTGTGCCTCTTCAGCAGGCTTCAATTGTATCATGTCCATAACAACGAGATAAATATTAGAGTGGCTTGCTTTTAACCATGCACGCCTTTTACCCAATCACGTGCACCACTACAGTGAGATTACTCCCACCATACCCCCGTCAAAACGGAATCAATCCCCACTTACACCGATCATGGCACATGACATGGCACGCGCAAGGCTCAGCGAGCCACGCCACAACACGCTCGCCTGCCACCCGACGGGGTGCGGGCGGCGGCACGTACCCGGCACCGGCTCTCCAGGAACCTCGGGCATGACGGCGTCGTCGACGGCCACGGGCACCGCCACCACCGAGCGCGACTCCATGGGCGCCACGTCGTCGAAGATCTCGGCCATCTTGCTGACGATGTCGTCCTTGCGGCGCAGCGACGCCAGGCGCTCGCTGTTGCGCTTGGGCGGCGTCGCCGGCGGCTCGGCGGCGCCGTCCGCGCGCACGATCCGGCGCGGGTTGCTTTTGGTCGGCGCCATGGTGGCGCGGAGTGGTAGGACTTGGTCTGTATTGGGAAGAGGCTGGTCAGCTGGTGAAGTTAATGACATAACAGTCAGCATTTGCAGCATCAAAGAAAACAGCACGGATATTGTTGCACTGTGGCACCACACAGTACATGGGCATTTATACTTCATTACAAAACACTTACATCAGCTCTGTGATGCATCTCTACCAGCTGATCCAAGCCATCGCCAAACATGACCCCAGAAGACTCACCTGCACACCCATTTTGGACTTGGGCCATGATGGTGTGCAAGATGATTTGTGACAACTGAAGGTCCTGTGATGGCAAATCAGATAACAATGAATGGGCTCCAAATACATTCATAGTACTGTTACTGTCATTGCAATAACTAGAAATGTTCCAGTGAATGTTTATTCCTTTTAGGGGTGTTATATTACAACAGCAAGATCATGTGGCTAATTTCAGTAAAAAGCCCCCTTTGCCATATAAGTAACTTTAAAAATGCAGCAAAATAATTTCAGCCCAAACAGATTTAGAAATGCATTTTAACCTTCAGGGCTGTGAAAATTGACAACACAATTCTGCCCTTCATATACAATGTGATGGGAGGAGGGAATAAATCATCATATTACAATATCTCCATTCACTCCTTTTCATAAAATTCAGCTTAAAATTGCTTCCTCCATTGTCTTGCATTTTTATACATGTGGATCATAGAGGCACTAACAAAGGAAGGAAAAATGAAAAGGCAGTCCCTTCACTAAAAAACATGTTTCCACCTCAAACATGCACTTGTTCTTAAAAATGAAAAACATGACAAAACATATGAAAACTAGTCCTCAGATGTCAACATAAGCTTTGTTACATGCCTGGCCCAAAATACAACAAGGCGGAAAGGTCGTTCAAAAACGTATCACATTGGCGGAGCTGGGGGGAGGGACTGGGGAACATGTCCCATACCTCAGGCACCGATCAAGACCACCACTTCTATTGTTGACCCTCTGTATATACAGGATACATAAAAATGAACAGATTGCATGTGATTTTAGGACACAAGACAATTGGTAACACTCACACCTTCTTTAGGGGCACAAGTAGAGGCAAATATCTATATTTGGGGGGCCAACCAATTAGGCACTTGCAAACAACCTGGACCTGTTCACATATTGTAATGTAATCTCCAAAATGACTTCAAAATATGCTGTCTGCAACGCAGCAAACAACCAGGGTGTTTAGAAATGAGACTCTACATAGCTAAGAATCGTATGCAAGTCCATTTAAAACGCCCATAACGCTCAAGCAAAGCTGCGCCACGTTGGCCGCCAAATGGTCTAACCGCGGCACAGGTCAAAATAAATCCTACAGGGAAAACGAGAAAACATTGCAGCACACTAATCACGCCCTCTTACATCAAATCGCCGAGACGAACGTGCACCTCCGGTTGATTCGATTTCAATACACAACTAGCAACCCCTCCCAAAATGGAGCCTGCTGTCCCGCACAGCCATCTTGTAATGCGGCTCAGGCGCGCTGCCGGAGAGACGGGGTCGCTGCGCGTTGTTCCGCCGCCCGTCCAGCCATCGCCCCGGGCGGCGGCGGCGACGCCGGCCGCGGAGAAAGGCACGCAGCCGTCCGTGCCTGGAGGCGCAGGGCGATGTTCGCAGGTGCCGGCGACAGACAAGGACGCTGTCAAGGCCGCGAACGCACCCGCAACCCGTGACGCCCCGGGCAGGCGCCTGTGCGGCCTTGGATGCAGGTAGGTAGCGGACTGTTACTGGGAAGCGCGATAAGCAGACTTAGGTCGCCGTTACAGGACAGGTCGCTGCACTACGGCTAGCAGGTGGGAGATGCAATACGAGTAGCCAGGAGGTGTGACAGCAAGACAAGTTTTGTCGGTCATATATGCCTGGGTGACTATTGAATGGACAGCAGGCGATTATCATGAGGAAGGTTGCAGGCCCGAATAGTCCTGGAGCCGCAGAGCTGAGTTGATAAAACGGTGCGACACTTTCAACTTCAGTTCCCCGTCCGACCCGACTGTCGCGTTCTCTTGAAAAAATACCACCGCTGCTTACAGCTTCGTGCACATTCGCAAATAGTAGGCGCGAGTCCATCTCTTCAAACTCATTATGTACGAGTTTTACGGCATATTGCTACGAGCTATCTGATCGGCCTTAATATTCTGGAACGTTGCGGTGCAAAAAAAGCCTCCCACACCATGAAAGTGGGGGACTCAAAATACTAAACTGAGAAAGAGCTGCATTCGTCGGCCGCATCGGTGCCAGACGTCGGAGGTCGGGCGTCGCAGCCACGCGAAACTGGCCTTGTCTAATGGGGGGGGGGGGGGGGGGAAGACCCGCGATGCGAAAGAAGGGTCTGTTGTGTGCGCCCGGCCGCCTGTCACGGAACCATGGATCCGATCGTTTTTGTCAGCTTTTTGGTTGCTTGATTGTTTGTTGGGTTTTAGAAACTCAATTACATAACATCATGACACCAAACGCACTGTGTAGACAAATGTACCGGCTACAAATTGACCAACCGATTTAATGACGTTCAAAATTATTATACTCCATCCGCCCGCTCCGCCAATAACTCATTTGGTTGGAGCACCTGCCTTCCGATCCACCCACTCGTGGCGGGATGGATGGATCCCAGTCCCAGAAACCCGTCCATGCACGAAGGTTCGAATCAATCTTTGTTTAAAAATATTATACCAGTACGAACTGGTTAAACAACGGGATCAAGATCGCGCTGTTTATATTTCCAATGTGCAGCGTCACAACGCGCCCTTATGATATTTCGTGATCGTGTTGTTTTAGAAGCCCTTCAGGCGCTTTAAACTCCCTGTAAATATTGAGTTTTCCGCCACTTCCTCCAGGCGAGGGGGAGTATGACCTCGAAAGCCCCTCCCTCTAGGATGCACTGATCAAAGTAACAAAGCCCACCGGAACTCAGTGAAGTCCTGTTGAACCCGAGCCGAGTCCCGCTGTACCGGTAGTCAGGCTCCGGTCTGTGTCCGGAGCGCCATATTGGGCCTGTGCTCACGCGGAAGGTTTTAGGACAAATGATCTCGACACATCTAGCCGCAGATCTGTTTGCGCCAAACGTTATTTTTCAACGCATCTTTTCGCTGCCGTGTCAATGAGGCGATGTCCTAAAAAGTCGAAGTTTTTTTGTGTTTTACGTTACATACCTTATATATATATATATATATATATATATATATATATATATATATATATATATTGTAACCGATATTCGTTTTTCTTAAGTATCCCTCCTTGCGATGTGTCAGGTTGATGAGCTGTTTATAAGTCGAAAGACGCATTTCACGATAGCCAATTTCCGGAAATTTTGTTCAGTAAAATTCTTACCTTTCAGACAGTTTTGAAGTCGAATACTAATTGCCCAGGTGTCCTATGATCGAAATATAGTTTGCCGACACGCTCTTGATCAGACTGCTAATAGCCAAACCATTCTTAAGTTGGCTGTTAATTTTTCGGAACATTATCTTGTTGGCCGAGATATTCCTTTTTGAATGTTAAGTGCAGAAACGTTTGTTAGGCGAAGGATAATGAGCACATGTTTTTTAACCAAATGCTCATGCGTCGAAATATTGTTAGTATGCTGAAGGTACAGTTTCGGGAATGGCTTACTTCTTATGAAGGCTTCAACGTGCCACAGGTCGTTCTCATCTCCATCTGTATTGTCATTCGCGATGTCCAATCAGGTTAGAATCCGAGTTCTTGGGTCCCGCGCCCTGGATCCCCCGGTGATGTAGCTCCGGTTTTTTCCACAATGGGAGGCCGAAAAAAACAAAGCCCGCTGATGATGATGCTACGGCAAGGTACAAACAAGCAATCATGTACATGCGTGGAACCTTGTTGCATAGTAGAACGCTTCGTTGGGTTCACGTGATGATGGTCTCATACCTGTACATGTTTTTTGGAAGTAGATTACTTTGAGCTCTCGTACCATGCACCGCGCGAACATGCGAGCATTGCGTAACGCACTTGCTGGAAAACGCAAAGAAAATGAAAAGGAATATTTTCATGATGGTGAGCAGAAAGGCCAACGGAATCTCTGGTGCCAAAGCGGCTACTTCAAATCAAAATTTTAAGCCACTCAGAAGAATTTCGCAATAGCTGTCTTGATCGACCAAATCAAACGCGTTTGATCTAGCAGTGCACGTACCCGGGTGGCCGGTTGAATACCCTTCGCTTGGGTGGAGCGGGTCTCAATTTGACCCCTAAGATCTTAAA